GTATATAGAGCTAAACATGTGCATATACAGCTCTGTGTTCGCTAATGTGTGTAGATCTCCTCTCTTCCACATGGCACAGTGAGATGAAGCGTGAAGGGTGATGGGAATAAGGAAGAAAGCCACTGTTTCTTAAGAGCTATACGAACATATAGGAGCATGTTTGAACAATACCGTGTTGGCATATTTATTACATACATGCACAACCTTTACACATATCGCTTCGGCTGAAAAAAAAATCTTTCCCGTTCGCCATAATGTTGTATCGTCCTCGGCAAAATATACAAATCGCCGTTGTCAAAAATGAATGGATCTTACCACAGTATCAGCAGAAAGGTTAACAAACGTATGAAGCAATTGTTAAGTAACTGGGATAATCATTTGTACGCCCCTGCGTACAAGCTTAATAATTAGGGTTTAAAAAAAAATAAAAAAAATAAACAAATAGCTAAGCAAAACTCACACTGCTATGCATCGAATGTAAAAAAAAATGTGAAGGGGAATATATATCGTCTAGTGCTGGCTCTTTATATACAAAATATGATACGGAAATTAATTGTGCGCGCTTGACAAATATAATCCCATTCAAAATGTAAAAAAAAAAAAAAATCATTTTCACTTTTGGGCAACTGTGAATATGCCATTTGGGGATAAGTGCCTTTTTATTAACAATAACGATTCTAATAAAAATGAACGGAGAAAATTCGTGGAAGTTTCGTTTCTGCTTCTTTTTTTTTACAAAATTGTCATCACATTTTACGCGTCAGATGAAGCTGTTAATGTAGGGTGTCAAAAAATAGATGCCGCGTCATTAACATTTGATTTAAGCATATGCCTACTTATATGTAGTGCGTGTGCATGTGCCTAGAAATACATAAGCGAAAAAATCGGCTACATGTTCGTATAACCCGTAAAAACTCGTGTTTGATGAAAGAGTATGGATATATTTCGAGGTCCCTTTCTTTTTTCTCCTCTTCAAAATTGCATAAAATTATATGTATATACTGCTTCTGTTGCAAACCCGTATGGTCTCAGGAGTCACAAATATTTTTGCAAAAATGTCATTTATATGTGTATCTGAAGCGCGATTGGTCAATTGTATGTGAATAATTTAAATTTTTTTTTTTTTCTCCATCTTTGCATAGAATTACCTCCATAAAATTATATAACACCATTTCATGTATAATTTTACATTATCGCAGTTGCTTATGATTAACCAAAACGTGGTTATACATTTTTGTCAATAAAAAAAAGATAAAATTGGCTCCTTTTTGACAAAATTGTGAATGACAAATTGGCTCCTTTTTGACAAAATTGTGAATGACAAATTGGCTATAGGGGACACTTAGAGAACAGCTAGCAGTGGGAAGGCGCTAATTTGTCGTAAGACCAGGGGCATATTTATACGTAGAACGGAAGTGAACACAAAGGGAAACACCGCAGCGACGGTGCAGAGCATAGCTCAGCATAAAAAGGGTGCCTGTCCAGCTCTCCCGCCAAATTGCATTTGTATATATTTTGTGTCCCACCAATTCGTGAAATTTAATGAGAAGCTAAAAAAAGAAGAGGAAAAAACGTTGCTGATAGAGCTGTCAAAAGGTTGGTGATAGCGCTCGCATAAACGTTTGGATAGCCCCCGTCAACGCGTAAGCAACACGTGCACAAAATGCTGCCGCTGCGGAACATCGTGGTGGTGCACCTGAAGAGGAGCCACATGCTCTATGTGGGAAGTCTGCCCAACGTGCAATGTGTCCTGAACAACAAAAGGTGCTTTACCCTCTTAAAAAACGAAAGGTTGGATAGACTAAAGAGGGAAATCCGATACAAGCCAAATGATAATTTCCTCATATTACAGTTTTATAAGGAAGCCAATGTACACAATCCAAATGAAGTTATAAAACACTACGAGAGCAACAATAACATCAAAAATGAAAGCATAACTAAGGAATACATAAAGGCGCTAGTGTATACAAATAAATTGAAGTACACGAACCTGGATAATATAAAGTATGATAGCGACCCCATGTTATATAGGCGATTGATGGACGAGTCGGGTCATTCAAATGATGTCAATAATGATCGTTCGGGTGTGTATGATACGGGGAATTTAAACGCCGATTCTGGCTACGCGAATATGGCTCAATCAGCTCAGAGAATAGAATATGGAGATAAAAAAAAAGGGGTGCACAATGAAATTTATAGTTTACAAATAGACCCCAAGAAGCCTTTAAAAGTGTCTGTAGTGGATCGAAGTAAAAGAGGCATGTGGGGTTTACTCAAGTCGACCATCGGGTTTTTAATTCTCGTGGCGGCAGCAAGTGTATACCTGGAGGGAGTATCCCAGAATGTGCAAAAAGGTATAGGAGTAGTAAATAAGAAAATAATTCCGGTGGAAAATGTGAAAGTCACCTTTGCAGATGTAAAAGGATGTGATGAAGTGAAACAAGAACTTGAAGAAATAATTGATTATTTAAAAAACTCAGATAAATTTACAAAAATAGGTGCCAAGCTACCAAAGGGGATACTCCTGTCCGGCGAACCAGGCACAGGAAAAACGTTAATTGCTAGAGCGATAGCGGGGGAAGCGAATGTCCCTTTCATCCAAGCATCAGGCTCCGAATTTGAAGAAATGTTTGTAGGAGTTGGTGCCAGAAGGATAAGAGAGCTCTTCCAAGCAGCCAAAAAACATGCACCATGTATCGTTTTTATTGACGAAATAGATGCAGTTGGATCTAAAAGAAGCAACCGAGATAATAGTGCTGTCAGAATGACGCTAAACCAATTACTGGTTGAATTGGACGGGTTTGAACAGAACGAAGGAATAGTCGTAATCTGTGCAACAAACTTCCCACAAAGCTTAGACAAAGCGTTGGTAAGACCAGGAAGGTTGGACAAAACCATTGTAGTTCCATTGCCAGATATAAAAGGTAGGTATGAAATTTTAAAAATGTATAGCAGCAAAATTGTGCTGTCAAAAGATGTCGATTTGCATGTCTTATCGAGAAGAACAGTTGGAATGACAGGAGCAGATCTGAATAATATACTGAACATAGCTGCTATCAAATGCTCCGTGGAAGGAAAGAAGGCGGTAGATATGAATTCAATTGAACAAGCATTTGATAGAGTCGTTGTGGGATTGCAAAGAAAATCTCCCCTAAATGAAGAAGAGAAAAATATTACAGCTTATCACGAAGGTGGTCATACATTAGTTAATTTTTACACAAAAGGTTCCGACCCTGTCCATAAGGCAACCATTATGCCTAGAGGCATGTCCCTGGGGGTTACTTGGAAAATCCCAATCGCTGATAAGTACAGCCAGAAAATCAAAGACGTACAAAGCGAAATAGATATTCTCATGGGAGGATTAGTTTCTGAAGAAATTATTTTTGGCAAGAATAATGTGACCACTGGGTGTTCTAGTGATTTGCAGAGGGCTACTCATATAGCACAATCTCTTGTTATGAATTATGGGGTAGGAATTAATGAAGAAAATATATCCATGTTCTTGCAGGATAAAAAAAACATTAGCGAAGAAATGAAAATCAAAATCGATAAATCTATTCAGAGAATACTGTTAGAGTCTTATAACAGAGCCAAAAAGGTCCTGAATCAACACATTGATGAACTACACAGGGTTGCTTCTGCCCTCGTAGAGTATGAAACTCTGACTAGCGATGAAATCAAACTAGCTATGCAAGGGAAGCATGATCAGATAAGAAAAAATAGAGAACTCAAACAGAAAGAGTTTAACTTGAAGGACAGCAGGATTTCATAACGGTTCAATTGGTAGAGAGTTCCCCATCGGTGGGTTATGGGTCATCTACCAATCACTACGGAGTATTTCTTTTTTCCCCTTTTTTTTTTCTGTTCCATTTCGTTTCTACGCACATTGGATTTGCTACAATTTTTGAATAATTCGCCCACATCGTAATTACTACTATGTCATCTAGCTTCTTTTTTTTTTTTTTTTTGCTCCTTTAGCACCCTCCCTATGTTATGTACTCCTTTGACTACACTGCTTTCTTGTTAAATTGGTGCCTTTTTCATGTGCAGACAGAGAAACGCATTACACCTAGACTGTGCATGCGATGCCCCATGCGTCTGATTTTATTTAATTTCCCCGTTTGTTCCATCACCCCCGGTGCCATGTATCACCCCCTCTTCGTCTCTGTGCCACATTATTAATGTGACATCTCCCCCCTTTTAATTTTGCCCCCCATCTTCACATGCATCCAGTAAATTCACATGTCTATGATTTAGTGGTTGTTTTAAAAACGGTTTAACTGAACAGGTTTAGTTTAGCATAAGTGCATGTTAATTAGGAAAAGGAAAAAGGGCACGGTGTGAACAAAGGAAGAGTATCAAAAATGGGGGAACTGTTGCAAAAAAAAAAAAAAAAAAAGATAACTTCACACGTAACCAGTCATTAAGACTAAACCTTTTGCAAATGCTGCCATTTCTTGCCTATCTGTTGTCAAATCTAATGAGGGAATAAAAGTTACCCTCCAGATGTGGACTTAATTTTTCGTCGTGTGGACTAAGTTGCTTGTCGCGCACTCAACCGATATGTTTAAAAAGGCCTGTGCACCGTGTTTAGTGTCGCACTCTTTCTCTATCTCCATGTTGCCGAGTTGACAAGAGGTATAGCATAAAAGTATAAAAGTCGCACATAATGATAAAATCAGAAACATACACGTTCAAATAAATCGCATTGGTAAAAGCCGCGCCTTCCGGGGGGGCTCAGCAATCGAGTGAACCTTTTTCAAACCAGAAACATGTCTTCTGAGCAGATTAAACGTATTTTACCACTTCTTTAAAGAGCTCCCTCTTCGACAACTCCGTCTGTTTACAAATTAATGATTTTTTCACTAAAAGGGAAAAAAGCGCGACCATATTATACAATCAAAAGTTTGCACATGATATGTTTCACTACAATTTAATAAAAGGCGCAACATCTTACATCATGCAAATATGGCGATATGCAATCGACGCTGTTTTGTAATTCACTTTTTCTTTTCTAACGCGTAAGAAGTGAAGACTTCTAGGTCGACGTCGCTGGCGATTTTCTCACTTTCCATAACCTCCCTCTGCTTATTGTTTAGCACGAATTGACTCAGGCCTTAAGTGGTGAAAACGAAGCGCGGTTAGAACGAAGTGTGGTGCTTCGTAACAGGGAAATAAAAGTAGAGCAGCGTGCAATAACGACGAATGGGAAAAACAAAATTGTGGGTAACCTAGGATGCACTTTTCTCTAGATATACATTTCTCATTTTGTAAATTTAAAAAGTTGTACACTGCCTTTATGTCTTCCGCATCGAACACTTTTTTGAAGTTATTCTGAGGAGGGGTTAAGAGAGGCACATAAATAAACGCACGGAAGTGTGCATATGTGTGTGTATGCATTTGTACTTATATATTCCGAAGAGTAACACCCCCTATAGTGCGATCTACTAGGATGGGCGAAACAAGGCACCCAATTTCTGCAGTGTGCGTCTTTTTCGTATTTTCCCTTATTCTGCATATTCGTGCCTATTTTGTTTACTTCCTTCTCTAATTTTTTCAGCTGTGCAATTAACGACTCCACTACGTTTTGCGGCTTTTCGAAATAAACGTAACCTAAAAGTCCCTTCAAAAATGTGGAAGGTGTTAATTAGCAAAGGTGTGGAGAAACAGCTCTGCTAGTTTTTTCATTTTTACTCTTCTGACTATTTTGCTACCTCAAATATTTCGGCTATATTTTTTCTTTTGATGTATTTAAGATCGTCTACAAAATGTTTATGGCATGGAATGGGCATTCAATTTAAAATTTTTCAGTTTAACATAAACGCGTGGAGGAACGGGTGAAGTAACAAAGCTGTGCAGCGCTTTTTCGTGTTTTTTTTTTTTTAAAGTATAATACCATTCATTTTTTCTATGGACATTTATTGAGATCTATTTGAAAGAAAAACAAAAAAAAGGAGGGTCCCAACTTGGCACTTAGTTAAAACGTTTCAGTACTTATATTCTGCGTAATGCTTTTTCTCCTAATCGTTGTGCATAATATAACCCTAGCACAGGGGAAATGTCTCATTTCTGTAGAAGCAACAAAATGTGGAATAAAATTGCAATTTTATTCTTAAAAAGGGAAACGCATCAAACCATCAAAACATGAAAACGTAGAAACGGATGCCTTCTTAGCTAACGGCGGAATATCGCATCGAAAATTTCATTAACCTTTTTGTTTCAAATGCTCTTCTTCTTTGTCATCATTTTGTAATGACGTTCGACAGTGTCTACAGACGAGTTAGAGAAGACATCGCGGGAGAGCAGAGCGGGCTTTATTTTTATTGTCAAAAAAAAGGAAGCACTAAAATGGATGGCTATTTGTTGGTACAAAATTTTATATTTCCCCTTTCCTGCGGAAGAACTAACCCTTTGATACCTTTGCCACACTTATGCAATACAGATGAGCATCCCTTCGTTGAAACCACAACGCACAGTTTGAATTTCTATTTGCTTTTTAAAATGGGCCAAGGTAAAAAAAAGTGCGCGCAGAGAATTTTAAAAAAATAACCAAAGAAGTGTAAAAAAAAGTGAATAAAAAAGTGCCAAGAAAGTGTAAAAAAAATGTCTAAAGAATGTTTAAGAAATAACAGTTTCACTTTTCGGCATTTCCCCGGCTTCTGTCCGACGATGGCGCATGTGAACAGTTGCGTCCATGTGCCCTTTTACATTTGTCTGCGTATTCAAATGGCTTTCCCTTGTTAAGGCGTCCTCGCACATTGGAAGCGCAAGGAGCAATTACTATGTTTGCACGATTTGCAGCACCCGCTATGTCTGCACCGCCTGTCCCTCTTTGCCTTTTTTCTCGCCGATTTCTGTATAACACCTCAAAAGGGGGCTCTTGGACAGCAAGCAAAATGCCGTGTTGTACAAAAACCGCCGCAGCGAGGAAGAAGTGGTTAAATGTAGAAAACGACAAGGAGAATGGAAAAATGCGCACACAGAATTTCCTCATCAAGATAAGTCTCCACCTTTTTTTTCCCTTCGCAAAGCAAAAAAATATCGTGAAATAAATTGCTGAAATTATTTTTCCGAAATGAGAACACGCAAGGGTCATGTATGAAGTGGCCTCTTATGGAAAAAATTGGCAAAATTGGGAATATGAAAATTTGCGTAACAGAAGTGCCATGTAGTGATGGTTTTGCTTCTTATCCCAACACGTAACTACAAACGGTTTGTCATGGCATCTGTCATATGTGCATAATTCATGTCCTTGTATATATGCGCGTAATGCCTTATATGTATGAAAAAAAAAAAAAAAAAAAAAAACGGGCAAAAAAGTCTATGAATCAAAAATTGCCTACTTTAAATGCCCAGCATAAAAAAAAAAAAAAAATAAAAATGCATTTTTTCAAGTTAACAATTTCTACGAGTATGTAATAAATGTGTATACAAAACATTTTCAAAAATTTCATTTGTTCTTTCTTCCATGTGAATAAAAGCAGCGCTGAGAACTGACATGCAAAAAAATGTGATAAAGTTGTTTGCGTACATTTCGTTCATGACATTATATGCATCATCAGTATATACTCTTTTAACGCTTTTACATGACATTTTACGTAAGGGGGATAAATTTACTCATCTCATCGCTAGCGCAAAAAAGATGATGTAAAAAAAAAAAAAGAAAACGTCCTAGCAAAAATATGTACCATTATTATTACATACATAATGCGTAAAAATTGAAAATATCCATAGATTTAATTTTCGTACGTATTTGATTTTCCCCAGTCCAACAGAACCTTCAAAAATATGTGATTAATTTGCATCATCTTGAAGTGAAAGTATAAAAATATTTCATTTTTCGGTTTTCTCAAATTTTAAAAACTGGGCAGGGGCAAGAAATTTACTACATTTTCTTTTTTTTTTGCACACGAAAAAAGAAGAAAAAAAAGCTTTTAATTTAAGAATTGTAAGAAAAGCCATCAAGTATCGGTTATCTCTATGTCTTAAAGGACCCTTATCCTACATTTTTAAGAATTGTACCGGCAGAAGGGAACAATCTCAGCGTTTGGAGCGTATCACTTAGCGCATAGCACTCTACGCTTAGCATTACGGCCGTTGAATGTTTCCAAAGTGGGGAAATCTTTTCATGTCAAGGGACACCACAAAACAGGCCTACACAAGGACGAACAAAGTACTGCAGTAAAGAAAGAGACCGCAGCAGCGATTAAGATATTCGTTAACGCGCACACGCCATAGTGTATGAAGACATATGTAGACACTACATACATGTGCCCCTTTTTAACCCCTCCTTCAGGATGGAATTGTGCCTTTATAACTCTAAAAATGGCTATTTGGAAGCCTTGTTGAGAGGATTCCGCAGCAGTTTTTTAACCCCAGAGGAATATAAAAAACTGACGGAGGTGGACACGCTCGAAGATTTGAAATCCGTTTTAGAAGACACGGACTATGGATCGTTCATGATGGATGAACCCTCACCCATTGCAGTCACAACCATTGCACAAAAATGTAAGGAAAAAATGGCCCACGAATTCAATTATATAAGAGCACAGGCAGAAGAACCGCTGAGAACATTTCTAGACTACATCGCAAAGGAGAAAATGATTGACAATGTAATAAGTTTGATACATGGCACGTTGAATAAGAAGCCAGCGGAGGAATTGCTATCAAGAGTAGACCCCTTAGGATATTTTCCACAAATGAAAGCTATTACCACCATGGATGTACAAAATTCTCATGATGATGTTTTAAAAGTGCTCCTCATAGAAACACCGATAGGAACTTATTTCGACAAGTACATCTCTGCCAACGCGTCCAACGAAAAGAACAACGTGACAACTATTCTCAACGAAATGGACATTGAAATTTTAAGAAACACGTTGAAGAAAGCATGGCTGGAAGATTTTTACGATTTCATAAGAAAGTTAGGCGGAAAGACGGAGGAAGTCATGGGTCACATACTAAAAAGCGTTGCAGACTTTCGAGTCTTATCAGTTACATTGAATACAATAAATTCTAGTCTAAGCTTGGAGCTGCAAAAAGATAGAAATGATATGTTCCCATGTTTTGGCTACCTATACCCGGAAGGAACAGACAGAATTAGAAAATGCTGGAATAATGAAACGGTTCAGGCTGCCTTGGAAAACTATCCAACTTACTACAACTTGTACGAAGAATGCAAACAGTTTTATATCAAAAATGAAAATATGAATGAAAATAAAATTGTTGATCATAAGATAAAGTCTTTGGAAGATTTGCTCTATGTTAAGCTTGTGAAATTGTGTGAAACGGCGTTTGATCAACATTGTCATTTTGGGATTTTCTATGCCTGGGTAAAGTTAAAAGAACAAGAAATTCGAAACATTGTTTGGATCTCAGACATGATTTTGATGAATAGGAAGGACTGCATCGATACTATCATCCCCATATTTGAGCCGCAAATTTAGCATTCTTAAAATTCAGGAGAGGGTAGGGGCGAAAGGATGAAGCGGGGCACGGGCGTGTATATGTGTGTGGGGCGGTAATGGGACAATGCCGCAATGCGGCAGTGAAATACGCTGCTGCCCACCCATCGGTGTGCCCGTGGACGCACTGCCTGTCCTATGCCCATCCACATGCATGAGCGCTTGCGAGCCCCCACCAAAATTTTTGTTCCAAATTTTGTTCATTAATTTTTTTTTTAAGTACTAATTTAAAACCTCATCATCCTAAACGTCTTGTGTAACCCCCCACGTCCAAGTCTGTTTCACTCATGAAAATATATTCCCCCTTGTGTTGTTCCCTCTTTTATTCTGATGTGGGTCTGATCCACGTTACTCTACGTTACTTCATGCTATTTCGTATATTATAATTATTATTCTAATTATTATTATTAGAATTATTATTTTATTTATTTTTTTTTTTTTTGTTATTTTTCCATGTATATTTCTCTTTATATGTTAATGTACGCACACCGCTTTACCACGCGCACATATGTAAGGTAACGCATATCATATGGGCAAAAATTAAATAGGCATATTTTTTTTTTTATACCAATCAACGCCCGTTTTTTACGTTCCTCCCCCTTTGTAATTTGTCTGAAAATAATTAATCTGGAAAAAAGTCACTCACCGTAGTGCTTTCACATTGAGTGTTTTCGAAGGGGCGCCGCAGCACGGATGTGGTCTTATAGACAAGTGCATGTGTCCGTGGATGGGTACACGCCTTAACGTACGTAAGAAGGCCCATTTCACGAAGCGAACGTACAGTTTACCGTTACTAGCTGGAGAGAAGCATAACATTAGACACAGCGCCCAATTGGGGTAACATACCATAAGGGGGCAAAACCAAGCGTTCAACGGTAACTCATTTATTACATTTGTGCCATATGTCCATAAAAGGAGCTATCTTTGGGGTGGTGATATTTTTAGGCAGAAATTAAAATTATTCGTAAGTTTTTTTCAAAAGGTTCTTAAGAGGGTTCAAAAAGAAAAGTAAAAGCATTTTGATATAGACACGCATATATCAAAAATTTTACGCCACAAAAAAAAAGCGGGAAATATGAATACGGACTCTA